AGAACAGTGACAAGCTGAAATTTGGTGGAGGAGCTGAATCCCAGCTTCCCAGGGATGTGGCTGTGGGAGAGGGATATGAACTGAATCATTTTGCTTTGCTGCAAACTCTCACCTTTTCCTACTCATCCTAATTCTTAATTCTCACATTTTTCCCATCCATCCTAATCTGAATCTCAGCTTCAAGCTGTGTTTTCATGCTCTCTACCCAGGCTTTCATTTCAGGCATCACTCCTATTCAAACGCAACGTCTAGCCTTAAAGAGTGACTGCCTTCCCTAATTTCCACCAGTAATAAAAATGAGCCCGGCTCACCAGCAATAACAAAGGGAACCTCTTCTTGGGTTAACAGGTTTATTGCTCAAAAATTATCTCATTGTGAAAAAAAAATCTCCTTCTGGTTTTACGTGTATAATGAATATCCAAACCGTTGTGCACAAGAGGGAGATTTCGGTACTGGTTGGCAGTGAGACCTTTCAGTCCTGTGCCCATCCTGCACAGATCCCAGCTCCCCAGGGTGCTGGTACACAGCCCTGGCCTCGCTCCACAAGAACCTGGTACACAGCCAGGGCTGAGCTATATAGGGAGCTGGTAAGCCAGGAGCTGGTGTGCAGAAATGTGCACAAAGGTGACAAGAAACAATCTGGACATATAAGATCCCATTGGTCCATCCCTTCTCTGCCCTTCTATTAAAAAAGAGGAAAGTAGTAACATGGCAGAAGCCTCTGTGACAAGTCCTCTGCCACTGGCAGGGATTTTCGGGCTGGACACTGGAAACAGGGTTTGGGAAATACAGCAGGAACAAGGGAAGAGAAAGGAGGGCATGTGCATGCTCATCAGTTCCAGAGAGGAGAGAGGTTGAAGCGAAAAGCTTCCTGATGACCTCCAAAAAGCTACTGAAGCATGAATATAGCAGCTAATTGAGAGGCAGAGTTGATTGCCTCCACTGCACTTAGAGGCTTCAGGTTAAAAAAACCACAGAGCTAAAAAAAAAAAACCACACAGGAAAAACCTCAAAGCATTATTTGAAATTAAACAGGAAGTAAGGACGATACGATTGTGAGACAGAAAAGAAAAAAAAAAAACACACAGGAAAAACCTCAAAGCATTACGTGAAATTACACAGGACACAGGCAGAAAGGGCAGGGAGACAGGCATCTGTAGTGTTAAACCTTAACCATGACAAGTAGCAAAATGATCAGACATTAATTCAGAGATAAGCGCTGAAAAGCTTGCACCTTTCTGCCTCCTGAAGCCTTTGCCTGCAGCAAACAGATGTAATCAAATTACAAGAGGCTATTAAGCACTGGCAATAAACTACCCCTGGACATACACAGTACTGTGGAGCCTTGCTTAACAAACTGTGAAATTTCTTTCACTCTCACCTGCTTTTTTTGCAGGTTAATTTTCCCTCTGGAAGTGACAGTAAATGCAGGATCAGCTTGTCAGTGATGTATGCAGATTTTTTACTTATCCTTAGAAGTTTTAACTGCCCTTGCCTCCCATACTGTCATCACTTTGATTTCTTTGAGAAAAGAACATGTTCTAGAAAAGATAGCCAGCCTGGCTTTCATTTCCCTGTTGCACATGTACTTGTGTGCACGCGTGTTCTTGTTTGTGTGACATGGTAGAGCAGGTGTTACTCGATGATGTGTTTACAACGAAATTAATGTTTATTCTCAAAGCAGTCATTGTGCATCAGGTTCATTCATTATCCTGGAAGGATAGTTTCTTTCTCTAAATTGTCCTGCAGGCACATTTGTGTGGAGTTCTAAGATGAAATTTGTAATAATCACCAGCCCCAGTGTCTGGCACAACCCACTTTCAGCCACGGGCATGTTACATACCTTTCACCTGACACAAACAGGCAAAAATTAACACTAAAGTAATCTCCTAGGGCTGCCATGAGACACAGCTGGTAATACAAATACTTAACATCGCAAAATAAAATCAGTATTAAGTCCTTTAATAATGCAACAATTAGTAATGGGCACCATCTTACACATTCTAAAGTTACAGCAGTAGCACCAGTGACACTAAATCATCTTAAATACTTAACTAAAGAAATCACTGCTGAGAACCACACACACTTCAAGCAGCGCTGAGGACTTGGCCACTTTAGATTCCTGTGTTCCTTTGTCTGTCCTCAGTCCCTCTGTCCACAACATTATTTATAGTGTGCGGTCACATGCTGAGGAAACTTGGATGGTATAAAGGCACAAGAATAACTACAAATGAACCAAAAATGAGCACCCCAGAGTAGCAACAATAAGAAAACCAGAAGGCTTTTGGAAAGCAGTGCATTTTATTCCCACATCTCATTCTGGAGTCTTCCGCCGATGCTATTAAAATACCTCAGCACGAGGCAGTATTTTTATTTTATTGTGCGACAGTTTCTTTTACTGAAAAAGTGGATTGCATTTGCCAAATTCCCATTTTATTTTAGGGAATTTATGGGTATAAACAGAATACAATATAATTACATTTCAATTATACATGCAAATGTACAACATTGTAACAGCGACTTTTTTAACAGTCAACTGTTCAAATTTCTGGAGGTTTCTATTAATATTTCAACAACAGCAAGCGGCAAAACGTTGAAATCTCCCAGGAAAAAGTCCTGCAACAAGGAAGAGCTTTCTACAACACGTGCCAAACATGGAGTGTACGCTAAGAGATTTAAGACTGGCATCCAGGTAGTAAAAAGATCCACATTTCTGGTGGAGAGAAAACACTGAGCACGGTGAGGACAGATCAGGAATGTGGGTTTCTCTTCAGCTATCTGTACAATTACAATGCAGTTCAATACCGTAATGAATTCAGTAATACAGCAACTATAAGTCATAGGCACAAACTTCTTTAATCTAGGATGCATTTTAAAAACTAACAAAACCCCTATTAACTATAAACAATAAATAGTGCTTGCCTTTTTTTTTTTTTTCAGAAGATGCTGCATGGAGCTTGAGCAGAAAGTAAACATTGTATTTCAGCATATAGCTAGTATCTTTCGATACTCACAAGCAATGTGTGATGTACAGATCTCTCTGCCCTGTCCCCCAGCTCAGCAGCTATTGGCTTTTAGACTCAATGTCTTTATAGCCAGTGTTTTGAAAATTCATGGGTGATGCCAGGTCACCCAACTTCTGCACTCACTCAAAAATCATACTGCCGCGTCTGATGCCCCTGCCTGCTTTATTGACAAGAATCTAAAGCTCTCCCAGAGATCAGTTTTGCAAATATCCCCTGCTGGGTAAATTGCTCATTTCGGATTTCAGTGCCAAATGTGCTGTGAGGCTACTGCTTCCTGCTTGGCTTGAGAAGGCTTTGGGCTAAGCGCTGCTTAATTAGGGCTGTGGGAATAATCGATTTTCAGTTCAGTGGCTTAATAACTAATAACAATAATAACAACAACAATAAACAGCTTGGTTTATTTTTTCAGCAGATAGTAATTTGTTTAAGCCTGCAGTCAAGATGACCCGATGGCCAGAGCACCCTTTTGGGATGAGGAAAACTTGAGAGTCAAATCTCTTCTCTAACTGGTTCTGAGCAAAGATTTGACCCAAGGACTCCCACCTGGGTATCCTCAGGCTAAGAAATACTCAAATAGTTACTCCCCAAGTCTTTCCCAATAAACCTAAGTGGTATAAATTATTAGCATATTTTCAGTAGAGGCTTCCCGCTTCCCATGGAAGCGTTTGAGTGGCCAGGCTGGAGAGGCAGTTCTGCCCCTTGCAGCCCGTGGGGACAGTCTGAGCACAGGGGAGCAGCTTCCGTCAAAGCCACAGAGGTCTTGGTGCCGAGCACACAGAGTATCCTGGCCCACAAGGGCTCATCCGTGGGATCTGCCGGGGTACACCACAGTTCCCTGCCCACCTGGGCTCTCTTCTGCTGGACATCACGATGCGGGGACAGCGAGGGCTGATAACGCATGAAGCTGTGTCCCAACACATGGTCAGGATATAGCAAAACTGTCCCACAAAAGCACCCCTGGGAATGCCGGAGAGATGGTGTCCCCAGTTCTGCTACCAGCCTGTACTCCGAAGAGAGGCAGAATGGAGAGGACATCTAGGTTCCAGTCCAGGCTCTGATTCACCCTACTTTAGGGTACAAGGAGGGGACAGCACAAGGCACACATTTTCTTCCTAATTTTTTTACAGCCTTCCCAAATCAAATCCATACATGCCAACATTTCCAAATTCTTTTATTTAGGTCAAGCTAATATTCCCAATGCTACGTGTAGTTAAAGGTCATAGAAAAACATCCTTCTTTTGCTAACCAAAGCTTCTACAAAGTTCAAGTCATGTTCTGCTCTCATGTACACCACCACAAGACAGAAATATTTCTACTGAAGACAAAAATCACTCAAAGCAGGTCCAAGTCCCAACCTGGCCACAGAATCAGAGGGAGTTTCAATTCTTCAGTTAAGAGGGTGAAATTACACCAATATAATTGAAGTGGCACAACCTCTAGCCCTGTTGCAATTGCACTGACACAGAGGAGCACATACAAGTACAGTTAATAGGAGCTTATATATTGTAGGAATATATTCATATAGAGTACCTATAACTGGACAGATACGGATATGGAAGCACATCGACAGAGCCTCTTAACGGTGTTAAAATAACAAGGCTCAAGACACAAGCTAAGCTATAGGTCACTGCTGTGTCACCAGCACCGCCAGCGAACTCAATGGTACTGATGTCCCTCACAGCCCAGGCTGCTGGGCAAGCACCTCATGACTTCCCATTACCCAACTCTCTCGGAGTCCGCAGCAGAGGACTTGGCACCTTTAGCTGTGGTGAGTCTAAAGTGATGTACTGAAAGCAGCTGAAAGCAAGCCCAAAGCATGAGCAAACTCTGACCTTTTGCTTTTTGACAATGAGGTAAATTCATCCTACATGATTTGGATTTGTCAGCATTGATGTGGAAATGTATGGTCTGCCTTTCCCCCTGTACAGAGAACCAGGTGTTTGTCCTCAAGCAATAGGTTTTCAAACGTGCTTTTTAAGGGTTTGGTAGCTCTTCATTTTCTATCAAATAATCTTTCTTTATATAATTAGCACCCCTCACCAACCTCCATACTCCAAGGTAGGCATCCTTCAGCAAACTCCTGTTCACTTCTTGTGTGCTGGTGGCTTTTTCCTGGACCGTCAGTCCCTCGGCAGGTTTCTCAGTGCCGTCCTTCTCTTCCTCTCCGCTCTGGCTGTCTCCCTTGGCTGATCCTTCCACTGCTGCTTCCTCAGACCCCTTCTCCTGGGAAATCACCTCCATGGCAAACAGGTCCCCAGCCTGCCTTTTCTCCTCCTCTTCTCCACCTTCTTTCTCCAGGTCCTCATAATTGCTCTGCCGTCTGGTCTCAATGTACTTGGCCACACAGTAAATGACAGACCCCACGGTGTTGACCACAACACCAGCTATAAATAACTTTGTGGGCTCCACATCATTGAATGCCACCATGCCCACTGTGATGGTTGCTATGCTCTTGACCACCCCCACAAAGCTGGTGGTCACAGCCGAGTTAATATAAGTGCAGTGAAGGGTGGTAAAGTTCATGGCACAGCTAATCAGAACGCAAGCGATAAAGATGCATACCATGGCAGGGTCCTTCCACCCTGGGAAGGACCATACGTTGATGGAATCCATGCTGGCAAATGAGCAGATGATGAGAAAAGGGGTGGCCGAAACAGCAATGGCATACTGAGCTGTCAGGGGTCCATATTCACTGTCTACACTGGTCTTCTGAATGAGCACCAGGTAGGCAGCGTGTATCAGCACTGCCAGCACACCCGTCACATAGCCCATAGCATCCCCGGTTAGGTCGCCAGCTCCTGTTGGGAAAGTCACAGAAAGAAACAAGCATGGGGTTTGCGTGTGACACAGAAAGAGAGCACCATTTTGGGCTGGAGGGGTATTCAGGAAACAGGTATCAGTGCACTTCCCCTAACTCCTAGGATTTGTCATGCTTGTCCCAAGGCTGGACACGCTTACCTGCCCACAGATACATCTTCTTGTTTTTTTCCTTCATGCCACAAATCTACTGAATGTCTTTCACTCTCCCCCTATAAATCCTGCAGCCAAAATCAGATTGCACTTGTTCTTTTGTGAAGACACTGTGGGAGATTTGCAGCTGAAACCACACATACACATAGAAACCCTTTGGCATCCTCTCACCAGCACAGGCACATGTCAGCTCCAGCTGGCAGGGCTGCCTGACCCCCAGCCCCCCCATCCTCCTTCTGCCCTCCTGCTCACCCCAGCAAGACCAAGGTGCTCAGAGCCCTGCCAGCAG